AGGTGTAAGGTAGGGGTCTTGCTTCATGATTCTGCACGTGGAAATCCAATTTTCCCAGCACCATTTATTGAATAGACTGTCCTTGCTCCAGGAATTAGTTTTAGATCCTTGATCAAATATAAGTTGGCTGTAGATGATTGGATTGATTTCTGGTGTTTCAATTCTGTTCCATTGGTCTATCCATCTGTTTCTGTACCAGTACCATGCTGTTTTGATTACAACTGCCCTGTAGTATGTCCGAAATCTGGTATTGTGATGCCTCCAGCTTTGTTTTTGTTGTACAAGATTGCTTTAGCTATTTGAGGTCTCTTGTGCCTCCATATGAATTTCAGCACCATTTTTTCCAGATCTGAGAAGAATGTCTTTGGAATCTTGATTGATATTGCATTGAATCTATAAATTGCTTTTGGGAGAATGGACATTTTGATGATATTGATTCTTCCAATCCATGAGCATGGAAGATTTTTCCATTTTTTGGTATCCTCTTCAGTTTCTTTCTTTAAGAATTTGTAATTCTCATCGTAGAGATCTTTGACGTCTTTGGTTAAGTTTATTCCAAAGTATTTGTTTGTTTTTGTAGCTAGTGTGAATGGGATTGATCTTAGAAGTTCTTCCTCAGCCATGGCATTGCCTGTGTGTACAAAGGCTGTTGATTTTTGTGCATTGATTTTATACCCTGCTACTTTGCCAAACTCTTCTGTGAGTTCCAATAGTCTCTTAGTAGAGTTCTTTGGGTCCCCTAAATAAAGAATCATGTCATCTGCAAAGAGGGATAGTTTGAGTTCTTCCTTCCCAATTTGTATCCCTTTAATTTCTTTTTCTTGCCTAATAGCTCTGGCTAGAACTTCCAGAACTATATTGAACAGCAGTGGTGACAGTGGACATCCCTGTCTGGTGCCAGATCTCAGTGGAAATGCTTCCAACTTTTCCCCATTCAATAGGATGTTGGCTGTGGGTTTTTCATAGATTGCTTTGATTGTATTGAGGAATGTTCCTTCCACACCCAGTTTGCTTAGAGTTTTCATCATGAACGGGTGCTGTATTTTATCAAATGCTTTCTCGGCATCTATTGAGATAATCATGGTTTTTCTTCTGCAGTCTGTTAATGTGGTGTATCACATTGATTGTCTTGCGCACATTAAACCATCCCTGCATACCAGGGATAAATCCCACTTGGTCTGGGTGGATGATCTTTCTGATGTGTTGTTGCATTCTATTGGCGAGAATTTTATTGAGGATTTTTGCATCTATGTTCATCAGGGATATTGGTCTGTAATTCTCTTTCAGTGCTGCATCTTTTTCCGGCTTAGGAATTAAGGTGATGCTGGCTTCATAGAAAGAATTTGGGAGGATTCCCTCTTCTTCGATTGTTCTGAATAGTTTGAGAAGAATTGGAGTTAGTTCTTCTTTAAATGTCTGGTAGAATTCAGCAGTGAATCCATCTGGTCCTGGGCTTTTCTTTGTTGGGAGGGACTTTATTACTGTTTCAATTTCTGTCTCAGTTATGGGTCTGTTTAGGTTTTCGATGTCTTCCTGGTTCAATTTAGGTAGGTTGCATGTGTCCAGGAATCTATCCATTTCTGATAGGTTTCCCTGTTTGCTGGCATACAAGTCCTTGTAGTAATTTCTGATGAATCTTTTTATTTCTGTGGTGTCTGTTGTTACATTTCCTTTTTCATCTCTGATTTTATTGATTTGGGTCTTTTCTCTTCTTTTTTTAGTTAGTTGGGCCAATGGTGTGTCAATTTTGTTTATTTTTTCAAAAAACCAGCTCTTCGTTTGGCTGATTTTTTGGAATGTTTTTCTTGATTCAATCCTGTTGATTTCTTCTCTGATTTTAATTATTTCTCTTCTCCTACTAGATTTGGGTCTGGTTTGCTGTAGGTTTTCTAGATCCTTGAGGTGAATTGAAAGCTCATCTATTTGGTGCCTTTCAAATTTCTTGATGTAGGCACCTGTTGATATAAACTTTCCTCTTAACACTGCTTTTGCTGCGTCCCATAAGTTTTGGTATGTTGTGCTGTTATCCTCATTTACTTCCAGAAAGTTTTTGATTTCTCTTTTGATTTCTTCTATGACCCATTGTTCATTCAGGAGCATGTTGTTCAATCTCCATGTGTTTGCATATGCTCTAGGGATTCCTGAGTTGCTAATTTCCAACTTCATTCCTTTATGGTCTGAGAAGCTGCATGGTATGATTCTAATTCTTTTGAATTTGCTGAGACTTGCTTTATGGCCTAGTATGTGGTCAATCCTAGAGAAGGTTCCATGTACTGCTGAGAGGAATGTAAAATCTTTAGCTGTAGGATTAAAAGTTCTGTATATATCTGTTAGATCCATTTGGGCTATAGTGTCGTTTAAATCTACTGTATCCTTGTTGATCTTCTGTCCTATAGATCTGTCTATTTCTGAGAGTGGAGTATTGAAGTCCCCCAGTACTATTGTATTGGGGTTTAAATCTCCCTTTAAGTCCGTTAATAAATCTTTTAGATAAACTGGTGCCTTGTAGTTAGGTGCATAAACATTGATAATTGTTATGTCTTCTTGTTGTATTGATCCGTTAATCATGATATAGTGCCCCTCTTTGTCTCTCTTAACAGTTTTTGTGGTAAAGTTTATGTTGTCCGATATTAAGATGGCTACACCCGCTCTTTTTTCATTTCTGTTGGCATGGTATATCTTTTTCCAGCCTTTCACTTTCAGTCTGTATGGATCTTATTGGAAAGTTATGTTTCTTGTAAGCAGCAAATAGATGGGTTTTGTTCCTTAACCCAATCAGCCAATCGGTGTCTTTTAACTGGACAGTTCAGGCCATTCACGTTCAATGTGACTAATGATAAGTGGTAACTTTGCCCTGACATTTGCCAAAGATAAGTTCTAATATATGCTTTGAATTCCCTGTGATCTTTTGCTGTGAGGTTTCCTTCCTTGGTTTCCTTCCTTTACCTTCTTTCATATTGATGACCGTGTTTCTGTGTTTCTGTGTGTAACACATCTTTAAGCATCTTTTGCAGGGCTGGACGAGTGGCAACAAATTCTTTCAATTTCTGTTTGCTATGAAAAGTCTTTATTTCACCTTCATTCACAAATGATAGCTTTGCAGGATATAATATTCTGGGCTGGCAGTTGTTCTCTCTTAGTACCTGGGCTATATCTCGCCATTCCCTCCTAGCTTGTAGAGTTTCTGATGAGAAGTCAGCTGTGAGTCTGATTGGAGATCCTCTGAGAGTAATCTGACGTTTCTCTCTTGCACATTTTAGGATCTTTTCTTTATGTTTCACTGTGGTGAGTTTAATTACAACGTGTCGTGGTGAGGATCTCTTTTGGTCGTGTTTATTAGGGGTTCTGTGAGCTTCCTGTACTAGGATTTCTCTGTCCTTCTCCAAACCTGGGAAATTTTCTGCTAATATCTCACTAAAAAGGCCTTCTAATCCTTTCTCCCTCTCCATGCCTTCAGGAACTCCTAGAACCCGAATGTTGGGTTTTTAATAGTATCCTGAAGATTCCCGACAATATGTTTTAGATTTCTAATTTCCTCTTTTTTTCTTTGGTCTGACTGTATCCTTTCCTGTTCTCTGTCTTCTAAGTCCGATATTCTCTCTTCTGCTTCACCCATTCTGTTTGTAAGGCTCTCTATTGTGTTTTTCATTTGATCTATTGAATTCTTCACTTCAGTCACTATCACAGTTTCCTGTTGTACTAGTTGTTTCGTTTCATTTTGATTCCTCCTTAATATTTCATTTTCACGAGAGAGATTTTCTATCTTGTCCATTAAGGATTTCTGTAGTTCAAGAATTTGTTTTTGAGAACTTATTAATGTTCTTATCAATTTTTTGAGATCTGCTTCTTGCATTTCTTCTATGTCATCATCTTCATAATCTTGAATTGGGGTGTCTTTTTCATTTGAGGGCGTCATGGTGACTTCCTTGTTTTTATTACCTCGGTTTTTGAGTCTGTTATTTGGCATATTGGAGATATTTGGTTTCTTCACTGTGGTGCTTTTTCTTGTTATACTATGACTCTAGATTAAGTGGACTATCTGTTTTTGATGGAGCCTTAGGGCTTGAGATGGGTGTGGCCTGAGAGCTCTGTTTGGTGTGCCAAAGGTGACACTCCCAGGTTAGGCGTGGTAAATCTCTCTCTTTCTCTCTCTTTCTTTTTTTGATTCAAAAAGGAAGTAATTCCGCACAGCTGAACGAAGTTGGAGGTAGTTAGCAGGCAAATGATATACCCACAGGAGCCAGAGATCAGAAGCTCTTTCCCAAGGACCACACAGGGAATCTGTTCGGCCCTCAGAGTGGGCTCAAATTCTCCTTCAGTCTCCCACTGGGTTGCCAAAGTTACGGAATTGTAGCGTCTCTGGAGAGTGCTCACGTGAATTCCGTGAGTTCTCTCCCCCACCGTCTCTTTTTTCACAGTCTCAGTTCAGTAGCACCACAAATTTACTAGGTCCTAATCTCCTGTTAATTCGCCCCGCCCAGAGTCAGGTTTTTCTGCTAGGCTCAGGGCCGGTGCAGACCTGAGGTCGCTCTGCTTATGATGTATGTCCAAGATGGCGCCTGCTCTTTGTCTTGCTCGCCCTTGAGAGGTGAGCGGAGAGAGAGAAACCCGTGTCCGTACCAGTCACCTTTTTTTTTCTCTCTCTCTCTCTCTCTTCCAGTTAGCCTGGTGAACTTCCCCCCCTGGGGGTCGTTCCCTCTAGTCTCCTCTCTCCGCTTGCCTGCCGGTGTCTCGGGCTATTGAGGTTCGGCTCACCTCTCGTTCCAGCGCTGGTGTGTTGAGTCTGCCGCTGGTGTCCCGAACTGTGGGCTCCCACGCTCTCCACGCAGGTCCACTGTGAATCATGCGTTCCGGAAGAGTTTCTTCTGCTGTTTCCTCCCCTACTCTTCCTTGAACCTGCAGTATCTCCACTTTTATTAAACTATCTCTCCCCGGACTATCAGTGTGCTCCCTTCCTATTCCGCCATCTTGCCTCCTCCCCCCTATTAAAAATCCATTTTGCTTTTTTAATAAAATGATTTTTTAAGTCCCTACAATGTTATCCTATTATACTTCTCTAGATTCCCAAACTAACCCTCATGATTGCCTGTAGTATATCACACTCCTGCCCTTTGCATGACTTTGTCTCATTACTACCCCTCCATCCCCTCTCTTTGTCCCCTCTGCCTTTCAGAGCCCTTGCCTTCCTTCAAGATCAATATCTAAGGTCACTTTATTCATAGAGTTTGCCCTCACTTCAACCCCTCTTTGATTTGAACCATTTCTCTCCAGATTTCTCCTCTGTACTTGGAATCTTCTGCATACTTCTGTTAGTTTTTCAGCTTTTTAGCATGTCTTCTTTTAAATTATCTTTTAGTCTGCTACATTCAAGCAGCCAGGAAGTTTGAGGCCATGTCTTATTTATCTTCACATCCCCAAGATGCAGGTCAGTGAGTTTTTCTAATTGAGTTGAATCTATTTTTCTCACAGCAATGAAAGTTTAAATGAGGAACAGAGGTTTTCTGGCTACCTGTCTTCAAATGGCATTTAGAATCAAAATCGGTCATATATATATATATATATATATATATATATATCACTCCTCTGTCTGGTAACATACACTACAATCCTACTGATCACAAAATTGAAACTAATAGCCAGTCTCAAATACCTTGAAATGGACTGGAGAAAGGTAGAAAACAGTGGACTATGACCTAAAACATATAATACATACATGTGACACAACTAGAAAATCAAGGTAACATGTTTTACCTTCTTAATTTAAAAAAAGCCCACCTCTTTCTATAATTGAAATGAAGTACAACATGTACTATACTTGTAAGATGTATAAGCCCCTAAAAATACCACTGACTATAATACAGAATTTTTCCCATTCTGCCAGAAACTTAGATTCATGTCATAAGAGAAATTGTTGCATTCTTTTACCTGGATGCTTGACTAATTCCAAGCAAAATAATCTATCACATTGCTGAATTATTGCTCCCCACAAAAATTCAGCAGTGAAGAAGATATTTTAGAAGTTCAATTAAGACATTCTAAGAGACCGTCTTAATAAGGACAAATTTTTGCCATAACATGAATAATTTTTTCAGAAAAGTATGGCCAGGAAGCCTCAGGAGATGAGTGAGCCTCTTTTGCAGGATCTAATTGCCTGGTAGCAATCCCATTTTTCCATCACACTTTATTTAACTTTTCTTTACTTATATCACATAAATTAACTCAGCAGCCATGCAGAATAATTTTGCTTCATTTGGATCTAAATTAATGAGCATGATTACAAAGCCATGTGTATAATTTCAATGCAGATACAACTATAATTATTATATTGTATGGGTTAGCATTTCAGCCTTATATTAATGTATTTTGAATACATAACGTATGATGCTTTTGTGATCTTCTGCCTCAACATCTGACTGAAAAATGTCCTCCAGTCAAAAAAAAATGCTAAAATAAATTATTAAACCCAAGGGAGGGAGAGGAAAATCTGGAATAGAAAAAGAAATGACATAGGGAGAAGGATGCTCCCAGGAACTCATTTCCTCGTATAAATTTTATTTCCAAGTCGCTTCATTAAGTAATGCATTAAGTAGAGAAACAATAGATCATTTTTTCTTAGCATTTAAGTGAGTTGTTTTCAGATAGAGAACTCTGAGCATTTGAGCATATGTAAGAAATGAAAACGAGAAATCACAAAAGAACACAGGCACTTATGTCTGCAGTCAATCGTGAGTTTTGCTGCTAAGTATCAGCTTGAGACCATGAATTATTTCTGCCCAGGCCGTCCAGTGCACAGAGCCCTGCTCTGAAAATATTACACTCTTAGGGCAGGCAATTATATGTCTTTAGGATTAATCCCAAACAAGACAATGATTTAGAAATACACACTTTCTCTTTGAAGAGCTTTTAGTATGAAAAGTAATTTTTCCTCCCTACCCTTAGGCCTTCTAACCCCCTTTTTCTCCCCTGCTGGATTAAAGGTAGAAAGCAATGCTTCCACCTGCTAGCACTCACAGACCAATAACTTTAATTTTTGGCACTTACTTACAGGCTGAATAGACCATCCACACCTGCTTTCCCCTTAATTAGCTGGCTATCTAACGGCTGCAGATTGGAGGCTGCCAGCTTCCTTAACTAAGAGAAAGATCATTTTGTTGCTAGTGTAAATAACTGGAATTGGGGAATGGGGGGAAGAAAAGGAATTTTTCTTTTAGAGAAACTAGAAAACATAGCTACAGAAGAAAGAAACATTCAGGTAGAGAAAGGGAGCCAAGAAAAAAATTTTTAAAGCAATATGAAGCCAGAAAAATGAACAGCAGCCCAACTTGGCAATGATAGAATTACTTCTACTTAAGATTATCTGAAATCCCCAGAGTTCCTGACATTTTTCTCCATTTATCACCTGGTATGCCACCCCACATCACCTAGCAGAGGTGAGGAACACGATCCCCAACACAGCAGAAAGAACATGTTGTTGATATTAGGAACTCCCATAGCACTGGACTTGACTCTGCTGCTGACCAGTTTCTGAAATTTGAACATGGTATAATTCGGCAGTCTCAGTGTTCTTGCTGGTCAAATGTGGGGTGGACGAAAACAGTCTCTGAATTTCCCTTCAGTTTGAGTATCCTATTCTCTTTTTGCAACAAGAGCCACCCTTAAAACCACCCAGAAGAGGAAAAGGAAACATAATCAAAAATAGAGAGCATTGTAAAAATTGTACCCTTCACACCAGACTAGAAAGTTTGAAATTTCAAACTATGCAAGGTAAATACTAGAGCTTAGTGGAAACCTACATGATCATAAGCTTTAATATTTTATGGGTACAGATAGGAAAAACCAAGGCCAGCAATATTTGACTGATTTGTCTCAACATCATAGAGCATAGTCAAGACTAGAAATCAACTTCAACTGCCTCATCAGACAAATGACCAGTGAAAGAATCTGATGGGTCACCCTTGACCTTAAGCTTGCACAGAATGAAATCACAATGGTTCTAATCAAAAAACAGGTACTGCATGATCAAATGTAAGGTGCTGGTTTCTCTCTCCTTCATAATTTGCACAAGCTTTTCATTTGTGCTCTTTGTGGCCAGTGTAAGCTTCATAGAAATTGAAATCATACCATGCATCTTTCTTGACTATAATGGAATGAGACTGGAAATTAACTTAAGAATCTCTAGAGATGAACGCTATGGCGTAGTAGGTTAAGCCTCCGCGTTTGGCACCAGTATCACATCTGGGCGCCGGTTCATTTTCCGGCTGCCACTCTTCCAATAGAGCTCTTTGCTAATGGCCTGAGAAAGCAGTGGAAGATGGTCCAAGTGCTTGGGCCCTGCATCCACGTGGGAGACCCAGAAGAAGATCCTGGCTCTGGGCCTTGGATTGGCCCAGCTCCAGCTGGGCGTTGCAGCCATTTGGGGAGTGAACCAGAGAAAAGAATTTTCGGTCTCTTCTTCTCTCTGTCTGTGGCTCCACCTCTCAAATTTAAAAAAAAAGGGGGGGGGGGTGAGGGGCAGCGCTGTGGTGCAGCAGGTTAAAGCCCCGGCCTGCAGCACCACCAGGAGACCCGGAAGAAGCTCCTGGATCCTCACTTCGGATTAGTGCAGCACCGGCCATTGCAGCCATTTGGGGAGTGAACCAGCAGATGGAAGACCTCTCTCTCTCTGTGTGTGTGTGTGTGTGTGTGTGTGTGTGTGTCACTGCTTCTCTGTAACTCTACCATTCAAGAAAATAAATACAAAATCTTAAAAAATAAAAATAAAAAAATAAGGAGCTGGCACTGTGGTGCAGCGGGTTGAAGCCCTGACCTGAAGCGCCAGCATCCCATATGAGCACCAGTTCCAATCCCTACAGCTCCTCTTCTGATCCAGCTCTCTGCTATGGCCTGGGAAAGCAGTGGAGGATGGTCCAAGTCCTTGGGCCCCTGCACCCATGTGGGAGACCTGGAAGAAGCTCCTGGCTCCTGCCTTTGGATCAGTGCAGCTGTGACCTTTGTGACCAATTAGGGAGTGAATCAGCGGATGGAAAACCTCTCTCTCTGTCTCTCTCTCTGTCTCTCTCTCTCTCTCTCTCTCTGTTTCTCTCTCCCTGTGTGTGTGTGTGTATGTGTGTGTGTCTGCCTCTCCTCCTCTCTCTGTGCAACTCTGACTTTCAAATAAATAAATAAATCTTTAAAAAATATATAAGACAGGGATTGAATCATTAATAAAACCTGCTGGCAAAATTGGATCTCCACATGCATAAGTATGAAAAAGACCTCTCCCTTTCCTTATAGAAAAATCAACTCAAAATGGATAAAGGATTTAAATCTATGACCTGATATCATCAAATTACCGGAAGAAAACATTAGGGAAACTCTGCAAGACATTGGCATAAGCAAAGACTTCTTTTTTGTAAAGATTTGTTTATTTATTTGAAAGGCAGAGTTATAGAGAGAGGTAGACACAGAGAGAGAGAGGTTTTCCAACTGCTGGTTCACTCCCCAGATGGCCACAACAGCCGGAGCTGCGCTGACCTGAAGCGAGGAGTCAGGAGCTTCTTCTGGGTCTCCCACATGGGTGCAGGGGCCCAAGGACTTAGGCATTTTACAAAAGAGGAAACTCAAATGGCCAGCAGATACATGAAAAAAATGCTCAGGATCAGTAGCCATCAGGGAAATATATATCAAAATCACAGTGAGATTTCACCTCACCCCAGTAAGAATGGCTCTCATACAGAAATAGAATAATAATAAATCCTGGTGAGGATGTGGGGGGAAAGACACCCTAATACACTGTTGGTAGGAATGTAAACTAACACAGCCATTATTGAAGAAAGTATAGAGATTCCTCAGAAAGTTGAATACAGACCTACTATATGATCCAGCCATCCCACTCCTGGGAATTTACCCAAAGGAAATGAAATCAGCATCTGAAAAGAGTTACGTGTACCCCCATGTTTATTGTAGCTCAATACACAATAGCTAAGATATGGAATCATTCTTTAACCAATGACCAGATAAAGAAAATGTGGTGTGTGTGTATATATATATATATATATATATACACACACACACACACACTATTGAATACTAATCAGCCATAAAGAAAATGAAATCCTGTCATTTGCAACAAAATGGATACAAGTAAAAATCATTATACTTAATGAAATAGGCCAGTCCCAAAAAGACAAATATCACATGTTTTCCCTGATTTGTGGTAATAGAGTACCAAAAACAGAATGTATTGACATTTTTAAATTTGATTATTGTTTACAGCCCTTGTCTCTACTGCTGAGAAACAGTGTTTGTTTTGTTGAATTCTTTACTTACTTAATATTATGATTAAAAAGTAAACTGAAAATATTATAAAAATTAAAAGAAAAATAAGAAAGGAAGGAGGAGGGAGGTTGGGGATAAAGGTAGAGTGGAAAGTGTCACTATGTTCCTAAATCTGTATATATGAAATACATGAATTTGTTTACCTTATATTGAAAAAACTTTGAAGGAAATAATAATGTACTCCCCAAAGTCTCCTCAGGAATAGCACTATGCCAGCATATTGCTATTTTTCACATATAGATATGTTCCTCAATTAATAATGGTGTTACATCCTGATAAACTCATCATAAGTTGAAAATATCTCAAGTTGAAAATGCATTTAGTACACCTGACCTAGTAACATCCTAGACTAGCCTAGCCTAGTCCACCGTAAACATGCTCAGAATACTTATAGTTGCTTACAGTTGAGAAAAATTACTACACACAAAGCCAATTAATAATAAAGTATTAAATATTTCATGTAATTTATGTTATAGTGCAAGTGAAAAACAATATAGTTGTACAGGTATACTTCTACACCACCATAGAGTTGTAAATTCCTAAGTCAAACCATTGTGAGCATGGGACTTCTTTATTGCAAGCTGCTGCTAGACCACAGCCCTTTGCTGTTAAATCACATCAACAGCTTCCACTGCTCTCAAGAGAGACATGAAACCTCTCATGGTTTCCCAGATGGCCTTCACCACCTGACTGCTGCTCACTTCTCCAGGTTCATCTGATATTCACCCCCGGCACATTGTATAATTAAATTCAACCCTCCTGCCACAGTTATTGAACACTGCTTACCTCTCCAACTGTTGATTATACTGATGTATTGTACTTGCATTTCAGTCATCCTATTTTTCCACTACTTGATACACTTGGTAAGAGAAGTGATGATTTTCTCCTTCAGTATCGAAAGCCTCATAGTGTTTGATTTACGATAGGTGCCTAAAAAGCTGTCAAATAAATTCACATTAAAGAGCTCAAAAGACCTGAAATTATGATTGTACTAGTGAGCCATATGTGCATAGGTATTTTAAATAACTGACCATTGTCTTTATAAACTTATATAACAATTGTTAAAGCCTTTCTTTTATGCTCATAGACCCACTGACTTTCCCTAGTATTCTTTGAGCATTCTCAAATTTATGAGTTTCACTAACTGAGACACTGGTGCAGAAATAGGATCACTCAATAACTGAAAATTCACTACTGCACTCCAGTCTTGTAGAACTGTCAGTTTGAATTTTACCCAGGTGTCTCTAGAAGAGAGAGATTGGGGTTACATTCTGGAATCTGACTACCTGAGCTGTTCTGACCTATGTTCCAATGGAACCTCCAGCAAGCTGCTTCATTTCACTTTTTATTTCGATCTCCTCATCTGCCAGATAAGGTAGGATTACTGCTTACTTCATACAGCATCTGTACCTCACTCAGCACTCCCTGCTAGCCACTGGAGAACTGAAGTACTTGTAGTTTCTAAAAATCTTACAGCAAAATTTGGCCCAAATAATTTCTCCATCTTTGCTTAACAGCTTATTATGATGATGACTATAATCATTCTCTCTAAGCATTTCATGAATGATGTCTCTTTTGATCCTCACAACTCATGGAGGGAGTTATTATTCTCTATTATAAATTAATACATCAAGAAATGGTGTAATGGCACTGCTGAACACCCAATGTCACAAAAAGTTTTACCTACAAATACCAAGATTCTACTTTATATCCTTTGCCCATCCTACCACCACCTTCCAGAAACAAGTTGCCCTCAACATTTTTCCCTGTCAAGGTGACTCAGGTACCCACACACACAGTCCCTGGATTTATCTTTGCTTTACCTCTCAACCACAACATGCAGCCAATCCTCTTGGGACATAGCTCTTTCTTCCCTCCCATCTTTTTATTCCTACTCCTACCCTCTTCATTCTTGGAGGCTTTAATTTTTAAAAATTTGAAAAAATTAAGTTTATTGAGAAATAGAGCTCTTCCTTCAGATATGAAATTCAAAAAAAAAAAGGGTAATTCACAGTTTCCTCAGCGTCTCCATTTTCTCCCCAAATCTGTTTTTCTTTTTAAAGGAAACTGAACTGAAAGAATTCTCTTGGAATCAACCACCTCACACAGAAAAGGATTCTGAAATAACTCTTCTGATTAAGAAGACAAATTCTCCACCACACTGATGTCACTTTCCTAGAGACTTATTTGCCAAGAAAGGATACTAATGTGGTGAAAGGAATTAGTTTCTCTTCTACAATTTGATTTTTATTGTGCTGATAGTTTTTCTAAGATCAGTAATGCTCTATCAATAAATCTTTTTTTCTCTACAGCTCTTAGCAAGTTTATGAGTATAAAGTTAACTAAAAATAGATCTTTGCAAAAAAAAAAATAAGAATGGGAATAAGGGTGGAGGAATAAGTGTAGGAGTATGGTCAGGAGGGAGGGTAGGGTGGGAAGAATCACTATGTTCCTCAATTTGTATATATGAAATGCATGAAGTTTGTATTCCTTAAATAACATTGAAAAAAAGGAATAAACAAATGAAGAGAAAGATGGGTCTCAATTCTCCTTGGGAGTTAGTCTCCATCTGGCTAAGGCAAACAACCAATTAGGTTTTTCTGGATCTTGTGACCTCTTGGACATGACAAAATGAGAAAGGGCATAGCTACATGGCTCATAAACTGAAGAGAAACCTTGGACTAACTTCTGTGAACTCAGAATCTCAGGACAGCTGCAAAACTTTAATAAGGATCATAGCCCAACTGGACTTCCAATCTAATAGGCCAAATTCCGTTTTATTTTCCTGGGAAGTATTTGAGAGTCAGAGCTGTATTTCTGTATCATTCCCTTATATCAGACAATGCACCATTCCCATTGTTTACACTCAACCTATAGTCCTGACTGTGCCCTTTTACTTTGTTCAATGGAAAATAAACTTCAGGTTTTGAAGGATGACTTTCTCACAAAGACCTTCCCATGTATAGCCAGTACCTGTGCTAAGAGAGTAACATTTCCTTTGGTTATTAATGACCCCTGGATCCTCTCCATTCAAGATTCTGAACACTTTTACAGTTACAACTGTATTTATTCTAACAAGATGTAGTTCTTTGATTCAAGAATAAATTGCAAAACCTTTGAAACCATGGCACGAGTCAAAAACATCTACATGGGCCAATACACATGGAGCAGGGAAGTGGCTGGAGTGAGCAGGGACACAGCAGGGTGAATGGCAGCATCCACTACTTTCTTTTTTACTTTTTTTTTTTTTTGGACAGGCAGAGTGGACAGTGAGAAAGAGAGACAGAGAGAAAGGTCTTCCTTTTCCATTGGTTCACCCCACAATGGCCACTGCGGCCGGCGCGCTGCAGCTGGTGCACCGCGCTGATCCAAAGCCAGGAGCCAGGTGCCTCTCCTGGTCTCCCAGCAGCATTCACTTTCTAAAGCAGAAATGGAATAATAGGATGCTCCCATATTCACTAGAATTGAAAGAAAACTTCAGAATTGGCCACGGGACAGTTTCGGCCCCCTCAGTTCTGAAATTTAAAGTGAATGGGAGAGAAGGAACAAAAGTTGGAAGAAAAAAAGTAGATAAAGTTTTATGATTAAGAAGATATTTTAATTATGGTTAGTATGCATTAAGCCTGTGGTTATAGAGTGGATTAAAATTATGTTTTTGAAGAAGTTAAAGAAAAAGAGAAAGAAAGAAAGGAGGGGGAATCGAGAGAGGGATAGTCAGAAGGAAGTATGGGTATCTTCTTAGAATTGTACTTCTGAAATACATGAAATCTGTTCTCTTTATATCAATAAAAATTTTAAAAGGTGATATTTTAATTGGTTTTATGCTAATTATAAAATGATCATGATGGATATATTAAATTTCTAAGATAATATAATCAGATAATAATTATAAAATGATTATTGACATTACCTAGCCTTTCTGAGTAAACCCATAAGTTAGGAAGTAGAGAAAATCATGCTAATGGAAGAAATGAAGTACCTAACAGAGAGAGAAAGAAAGCAACTAAATGATTGATCTTATGTTGACCTCTCTAAAACATTTCCTTTTCATGAAGTCACTGAGGGAGGAAAATAGATGGGAAAAAGTTTCCCTTATGTAACCTTTAAAGTCACTCATGTTCTGAGTTACTCATCAGAGGTCTATGTGTCTTCTTTTTTTTTTTAATTTTTATTTTTTGACAGGCAGAGTGGACAGTGAGAGAGAGAGACAGAGAGAAAGGTCTTCCTTTGCCGTTGGTTCACCCTCCAATGGCCGCCACGGCTGGCGCACCGCACTGATCTGATGGCAGGAGCCAGGTACTTTTCCTGGTCTCCCATGGGGTGCAGGGCCCAAGGACTTGGGCCATCCTCCACTGCACTCCCTGGCCACAACAGAGAGCTGGCCTGGAAGAGGGGCAACCGGGACAGAATCCGGTGCCCCGACCGGGACTAGAACCTGGTGTGCCAGCGCCGCAAGGCAGAGGATTAGCCTAGTGAGCCGCAGCGCTGGCTGGTCTATGTGTCTTCTAATGTTTCCTTATCTCCACAGTTCTTTGAAAACTAATTGGCCCATGGGGCTGACACTGTGGCATAGTGGGTAAAACTGCCACCTGCAGTGCCGCATCCCATATGGGCGCCAGTTCTGGACCCAGCTGCTCCAATTCAGATGCAGCTCTCTGCTATGGCCTGGGAAAGCAGTAGAAGATGGCCCGGGTACTTGGGCCCCTGCACCCACATCGGAGATCCAGAGGAAACTACTGGCTCCTGGCTTCGGATCAGCAGACCCCGGCCCTTGCAGCCAGTTGGGGAGTGAACCAGCAGATGGAAGACCTCTCTCTCTCTCTCTCTCTCTCTCTCTCTCTGCCTCTCATTCTCTCTCTGTGTAACTCTGACTTTTGAATAAAAATGAATAAATCTAAAAAAAAAAAAGGAAAGAATAAAAACTAGTTGGCCCAGTTTTGATGGCTGACCCAAACCAGAACAGGTATCTTTCAAAACTTCCCAATATATGCTGTTTCTAAATGCAGACAAGTTCCTTTCATGTTGTAAAAAATGAGAACCAGAAATAGGAAATCTCGGAAACTCAAGACTGAGCCATGCAGAGGATTTGTAAGCCATGGATGGGTAAACCCTTGGGCAACTTCCCTTGACCCAAATCCTGAATGGGTGTTCTCTTCCATGACAGGACAATGAAACTGTCCCATCGCTAACAAATCTAGTGAATATGGGAGCAGCCTATTACCCCATTTTTTGCTTTAGAAAGTGGATGCTGCCACTCACTGTGCTGTGTCTCTGCTCACCCCAATCACATCCCTGCCCCTTGTGTATGGGCATATGTAGGCTACCACACAAACAAGCTACCTAAATCTGGCATCAGTTGGTTTTTCCAAGAAACAGAATCTACCAGAGCAGACAAAAAGTCAGAAAGAGGAAAAGAAGGAGGTCAGCTTTCAGTTTATCAGCCATCTCCCTGCATTATCATCCCAGGCTGGCTCTGTCCCTAGAGAGAGGACCACAGCTCCAGTCAAGCACCCCTGCCCAAATAGTTTTCTCTCTTTGAGGGCTATAGAACATTCTTGTCTCAATTCATGTGGATCATAATCTTTTGTTTCTCTACAATTTAAACACACTGCTGTAAAATGTGCCTTGGTTAAAATCTATTCATATGGCCCAGTTTCCTTCCCAGACCTTCAGTGACACATATCCTCTATTTTACTACTACTCTAAGAACAAATCAATGTGTAAGTGACACATCTAAAGTCTACTAAAGGAAATCCACATAGCAAGCACAGCATCTTAGCTTAAAGTATCAAACTTGCTTTTCAAATGTAGGATTGTACTGCTTGTGTTTTAAGTAGAAAGAATATTACAATATTTTTCAGCAAATTATAAGTAAATGTCTTTAAAAATAATTCAGTAGGAATAAATTCTAGGGAGCAAATTATAAAATGTTTATCTCAGTAGTGATTTTTGTAATTTCAGAATATGTCCCCCATCTAATAATATATTATTTTAAAATATTTCATGGAGAAACCTAGAGAAAACCATGAAGTTTTCCTTCATTTCTTGTCCATTAGATCCTTTTCTTTTTTACGCTTGGCATTTCTAAATATGCAGAGACTTTTTAACTCCATTGCAGAACACTCAACTAAACTGTATTGGGAATAGACTTCTGCCAAAGGTCATCTAAATCCTCCAAGAATTTATAATTCCTCACTCACCTCCCTGAAAAGGAAATATGTGAATACCGTGACTCAAATAAAATATTAGCTACTTCTAGATAGAAGTGTTCCTCTGACCACAATGCTGACACAATTCACTAACATTTTAATAGTCCATTTGGTTCTAATCCAAGACTCAGTCCTACACTATTCTTTTTATTTCCTTACATGTTCCATTTCTTCTGAGGAATTGGAATAATTATAGTGACTACTTTGGAGAGAGCAAGAGTTTGAAAACACCGCCTAAGGGATACAAAAGTTGTTTTATTCCATAATTAGGCATTTCTGTCCCAGGAGCATTTTATAGTCATGGTTTGAAATAACAGCCATTATTTTATTACAATTTTCTATTTTTTGCACATAAAAATATTTAGAACATGTTTTTAGCTGAGCTTTATTAGCCATAATGCCAGGAAGTGCCTAGTGTTATGGATGATGGAATTATCTTTGAGGGCTTCCCTTTAGTGTTATTTCTTCCTTGTAGTCTACGCTTTCTCAGTGCTTGCTACTAGAGCTGAAATATAAAGAGGAAATTGAATATTCTATCCATTTGTGGAAGTGACCTATACTTAGGGATAAAGTGATCTTCCCCCATATATCTTTCCACTCCTTTTTCTCTAATGAGCATTAAATTCTCCATGCTACATATTAAGCTACTTAGGCAGTGAGTAATGCTATAGTATTAATAAGAACTAGAAATATAGAGCTGATTCAGCAAGCACAGAAATAACAATTTAAAAGCAATTGGCATTAAATAATGTCCTTACCAAGGAGTTGGATTCAATTTTCTTCATAGGGGATCTAAGTCACAAATCTCTGAGGATGCCCTGGTACATGGAAAAGAGAACACAATGAAGAAATTAAAGAAACAGAAGGGATAGTCTAGTGCATCTAGACAACTCTTACAAACAGGAATAACTCTTTCAATACAAATAAAATTCAGTGCAAATTGGGGTTAACCTTTACAGTATCTGTGAAGTTTCTACTTTAACTCTTCTAGGGGCAGGGCACTAGTTATTACCTTAAACAACATATCACACTGGTACTCTATGAGAATACCATTGCTTATGTAGAAACAAAATCTGATTTCTCTTAATTTCTAGTCCTTGATGCCAGTTCTTCTATTTGAAGGGAACATAGAAAATCATAATTCTTCTCATGCATTATAACCCTATAATTATTTAGAAAGTAGTTAGCAAATTCTTCACAAATCACCATTTTTTTTTGGTTAGGCAGAACCCATCCATCTCCCTTCTGGCAGTATCTAATTTTCCTTTAGTACCACACGTCTTCACTCACACAGCTAGAATGAGCATATGGCATAGAACTGTCAAGAAATACAAATTTCCTGTCCCAATATTTCTAACTGGACATTTAACAAATGTTTAATCAATGAGATATAATTTTACTTTTTAACTGAAAGAATATAGAAAGTTATATTTCCAGGTAAAATATTTATGGCTATATGTATGTATTATAGTTCAACATAATGTTCTGATATATGTATGCATTGTGCAATAATAAATCAAACTAATTAACATATCTATCATCTAACATAGCTATTTTTATTTGAACTAAGCATATTTTTTAAAAAAATATATTCTCCTATGGGACAGGTGTTTAGCCTAGCAGCAGAGATACTGGCTGAAACACCCACATCCTATATCAGAAGGTCTAGGTTTAAGTCCCAGCTCCACCTCCTGAATCCAGCTTCCTGGTAATGCACACCCAGGGAGGAAGCAGATGTTGGCTCAAGTACTTGGATCTCTGCCACCCACATGAGAGACAAAATTATATTCCTGGATTCCAACCTCTACGGGAATTTGGGGAGTAAACTAGCAGTTAGAAACTCTCTCTAAACAAACAAATAATTAGAAATTTTTAATCTACTATCCTAGCAATCTTCAAATATGCAAAACATAATCATGATATATAGAACCACACTATACAATCGATCTATAGAACTTGTCCTTTCTTCATTCTGAACAACATCTCCCAATTCCCCACAAGTCAACCCTCTGCTCCTAAGTTCAATGTTTTTAGAGTTCACATGTAATTGTGGTATTTGTCTTTTCGTGCCTGGAATATTTTAATAACAATAACATTTGCTAGGTTCATCCATGTTCCTGCAAATGTCAAAACTCCCTTTTTTTAAGACTAAATAGCATTCCACTACATATATATTTAATACATTTTCCTTTTTCTTTTTAAAGATTTTATTTATTCACTTGAGAGGTAAAGTTGCAGACAGAGATGAAGAGACAGAGGCAAATGTCTTCCATCCACTGATTCAGTCACCAAATGGCCACAATGGCCGGAGTTGGGCCAATTCAAAGCCAAGAGCCAGGAACCTCCTCTGGGTCTCCCATGCAGGTGCAGGGACCCAAGCAGTTAGACCATCTTCCACCGCTTTCTCAGGCCATAGCAGAGAGCTGGATTGGAAGAGGAGCAGCCAAGACAAGTACCAGTGCCTACACAGGATACTAGCACCACAGGCAGGGCCTTAGCCCACTACGCCACAGCATTGGCCCCAACACATTTTCTGTATCCATTTATCTTGATTCCATAAGCTAGCTATTGTGAATAATGTTGCAATGAACATGGGAGTACACATATCTCTTCAGCAAACTGATTTCATGTCTTCTGTATACATATTCAGAAGGTATTGAATAATTATATGGTAACTGTATTTTAAATTTTTGAAGAACCCCTCTTCTGTTTTACATAATGGTAGTACTAATTTATATTCCCACCAACAGCATAGAAGTGTTCCCCTTTCATCCTTACCAGTATTATCTTTTATCATTTTTATAAAAAGCCATTAAAACAGGTATGAGGTAATATCTCATTTTGCTTTCACATATTTCTGATGATTAGTGATTTTAAGCATTTTTATACCTGTTGGCCATCTGTATTTTTTTTGTCCTTTAAAAAATGATTGATGATTGATTGAAAAGAAGAATGACAGAGAAAAGGGGACAGAGAAAGAGATCTTCTGTCAGCTGGATCAGTCCCTAAATGGCCACAACAGCCAGGACTGGGTCAGACCAAAATCAGGACCCAAGAGCTCCATCCTGGTCTCTCATATGGGTGGCAAGAGCCCATGTACTTGAGACATCATCTGCTGTTTCCCAGGTACATTAGCAAAAAGCTGGTTTTGAATACTTGCTTGAGGGTATTTTTAATTTCTTACATATTTTGAATAATGGCCTCTTATCAAATGTGTACTTTGTAGACATTTTCTCCCATTTTATATGCTGTCTCTTCTCTCTGCTGATTGTTACTTTTGCTGTTCAGAGATTTTCTGTTTGTTACAATCCCATTTGTCTATTTTTGCTTTAGTTGCCTATATATTCCAGGGTCATATCCAAAGCATCTTTGTTAAAATCAATATCCTGAAACATCTCCCCTAGGTTTTCTTCTAGTGGTTTCACATTTTCAGACCTTACATTTAAGTCCTTAATCCATTTTAGTCAATTTTTGTATATGAGATTCAATTTTATTCTTCCAGTTTTCCAAGACCATTAATTGAAGAGAGTGACCCTTCCCTCATTGTGTATTCTGAGTACTTTTGTTGAAAATCAGTTCATTGTAGACGTGTAGATTTATTTCTAAGCACTGTATTCTGTTACATTGGTCCATATGTCGGTTTTTATGCCTGTACCATGCTGTTTTTATTACCACTCCCCTCTGGTGTATTTTGAGATGAGATATTATGGTGTCTCTAGCTCTGTTTCCCTTGCTCAAGACTGCATTGGCTATTCAGGGTTTCTTGAAGCTCCATACAAATTTAATAATTGTTTTTTCTATTTCTGTCAAAAATGTCATTGGAATTTTGATAGAGATTGTATTGAATCTGTAGGTTGTTTTTTGTAGCATGGACATTTTAACAATATTAATTCTTCTAACCCACTAACACAGGGTATCTTTCCATTTATTTGTGTCTTCTTCAATTTCTTCCATCCCTATTTTATAAGTTTAGTAGTTTCAGTGTTATATAACTTTCAAATCCTTGGTTACATTTATTCCTGAGATAATTTTATGCCTTTGTAACCGGAATTTTTTTCTTAACTTCTTTTTCAAATAATTCATTGTTAGTATATGTAATTATTACAGAGAATTATTTATATGTTGACTTTGTAGCCTGCAATTTTACTGACTTTGTTTATTGGATTTGCTTTTTGGTTGAAGTCTTTAGGATTTCTCATACAAAAATTATGTCATCTACCAACAGATACAATTTGGCTACCTCTTTTCCAATGAAGTTTTCCATAAATCATCTTTTTGCTTGCCTAATTGCTCTAGCTAGGATTTCCAGTAATGACTGAATAGAAGTTGTGAGAGTGGCATCTTTGTCTTGTTCCTGATCTTAGAGGAAAAGCTTTGATGTTTTCACAACTGAATATAATGTTAGTTGTGGGTTTGTCATATATAGCCTTTATTGTGATGAGATACATTCCTTCTGTTCCTAATTTTATGAGGATTTTTATCATGAAAGGATTTTGAATTTTGTCATGTTTTTTCTTCATCTATTGAGATGATAATATGGTTTTTGACCTTCATTCTGTTAATGTGGTGTTTCACATTTCATGATTTGCATATGTGGAATGATTCTTGTATCCCAGAGATAAATTCCACTTGATCATGGTGAATGGTTGTTCCAATGTGACAGTTCCAGTTGTTTAAATTGAAACCTTAAGAAAGGAAATTTTTTCCATGCTATGGACTGTTAGTTTTAGGATTATATAAGCTCAGAGTTTGACATACCATTTCATGAAGAGGTTTCTTCTAGAAAATGAAGCCAAATAAATCAAAGCTAAAAAATGGAAGAAAAAAATCAAATGATAGGGTTTAAAATCTGGATATACTTGAGTTTTAAATTAAGTCTACTCCTGGCCCCTTCTGTAACATAAATCAACCTATTTCTTTTTCTTAACAGGAGTTATTTCCTACCAAAAAATCTGACTTAATAGAGCTTTTCTGAGTCGTATCCTTTCTAAGGATGATTGTTCCACCAACTATCTTTTAAATAGCGTATCTATCTAGATGTTCACACTGGTAGTGAATCTCAAGTCCTCTCTTGCATCAGTAGAAATGAGTTTCATAAATTGTGTTACCCAGAACTAAACCCAAAATATGTGATCTGAGCAATATGATAAATTTCAACCATTACATGGATACGATAATTCTATCACTGTGGCCAACAGTCCCTAAAAACTAATGTGAATGATTAGTTGGATGTGTCAACTTGGCTAGACTACAATACCCAGTTGTTTGGTGAAATAGATGGTGCCATGAAGGGTAGATTTTGAGTGAAGCTAATTACCATTCATATTGTGGGTGGACCTCCAATCAGAAAAGACTGAGGTCCCCATAAGAGGAAGGAATTCTGCCTCCAGACTCAAGAATGCAACATCAGTTCCTGCCAGAATTCCCATTTTGCCTGATTTCAGATCTCATAACTGCCTGTGCCAGTTCGTGGGCGTGGGTGGAGGGGGTGGTGGGGAGGGGGTGGTGTATGTTACTGTTTTTGTGTTTCTCTGTAAAACTATGAGTGATAAAAATGAAAATACGTCACATTCTTTCCTCGTTTGTATTTGTCAGGCAATGGTGATCCTTAGCTCTTCCAACTGCATGAACTATCCCATCTTGGATTTGTTCGTTCATTAATTCAGCTAAACTCATTATACTTTATGTCTTTGTCTACTACAATGATTTCCATTAATTGAGATATTTTTGAAAAATATTCTTTTATCTATCATATTCATTAAGGTTCTTGGTTTGGAACTTTTACACATTTGATGAGAAAGCTTTGATATCTTTATCTAGCAATTAGAAAATATTCATTAAACTATAGATTATATTGAAACCCTGTTGAACACAACTTGAGACTCCCATCAATCAGCATCTTGTTTTGATAACTCTTTAACCAGTTGTTAATCCACCTAACAATATAATTAATATAATTACCAAACCTATATTCTCCGCCGACTTGCCTGTAAGAATATTGTAACAGTTGCCAGTGAATGCTTCCTAGAAATAAAATAGCCTGTGTTCACAGAATTTCTCCCATCTACCTAGTAACCCATGGAAAACTAATTATGTTCACATACATCATTGTTTATAGGTGCATTCTGACTCTAACTTTCACTGTTTTCTTTTGTGAAGAGTTTTTGTAAATAAATCATCTAGAATTTTACCAGAAGGCCATCAAATTGGTAAGAAAGCTTATATCCTATTATTTTATTTATTTAAAAAATTATATTCCTCGGAGATTAAAAATATTTGGTTATATAATTTCATCTCCAAATTCTTTAAATACTTTGCAAAGTCTTCATCAAAGAAGATTCTCACCTTCCTGGGCTTCATGTTACTTCTACTGTTTCCAGCTTAAATGTGTTTTATCTTGATAGACAAAGACAAAGATAAAACTGGATTAAGTGAAAAGGCAAATAACCAGGAAAAAGTACTATAACAAATAAAATATACAAATAAACCTTACCTCTGTCCTATTAAAAAGTGCATAAAATCTGGTATTTAAACTGCCAGAACTTCAAAAGATAAATGAGCAAAGGACACGAAAAGATAATTCATGAACGAAATAATATACCTTGACCACAAAAGAGAGGAAATTTGTAGCTTTGTAATATTCTAGTGAATATAACTTAACTTTATGATCATAAGGTAAACTGAAAGTAGATCTTTGTAAAAAGTAAGAGTGGGAATGGCAGAGCGAAGAGAAAGGTTGGAGCATGGGCAGGAGAGAGAGTAGGGTGGGATGTATTACCACATTACTAAGTCTGTATATATGAAATACATGAAACTTGTATAACTTAAATAAAATTTAAAAAAACACTTTTAAGCTTTTTCTGCTAAAATACCACTTTTTTAAAAAAAGATATACAACTTTGATGGTGAAGTTATCACCTATAAACACACATTTTTTATGATATATATTTTAATGATATACATCAATAATAGTAATATATACTGTTACTACCCTTACACACACAAAGCTATGTATCAATAATCAAAATACCCCAAGGAAATGCTGGGCTTTATTTAGTATAAATTTTTCAAAATTTATTCTTAGATTTTAATTATTTTTTCATAATACTTGCACATTTTTGAAGAGTACAATGCAACTTTGCAACACATATACATAGCTTAGGCCGACTATGTTAGGAAACCAGCCTTTCATTCTCCTTGTCTTTATTTGTGTTTGATTTTTATAGTCTATATGTTTATAATTATGAATAGATACCACCTATATAAAAATGATTACTAATAACTTGCTATAAGCAATTCCAATTTTAATTTTCTTTTTGTTTAAAGAGATGAAATGGAGTAGACATTGTGGTGCACCAGGTTAAGTCACCACTTTGGATTTCCACATCCCATAATAGAATACCCATTTTGAATCATGGCTACTCTGTGCTTCTATCAAGCTTCCTGTTAATGCATCTGGGAAAGCAGCAGAAAGTAACCCAAGTACTTGGGCCTCTGTCACCGAAGTGAGAGACCCAGGTGGAGTTTCTGGCTCCTGGATTCAGCCTGACTTAGCCCTGACTGTTATTGGCATTTGGAGAGCGAACCAGTCCAGGGAATTGAAGATTTCTGTCTGTCTCATCATTTGTTTCATCTGCCTTTCAAATAAATAAATAAATGTTTAAAATAAAGAGATACAAAAATATATAATTCTATGTAATAAGTACTATGTAATAAAAATCAGTAAAACTTGATCTTCTTATATAAAGATAATTAAAAATGATTCTTAATGAAAAATCGGAGAGGAGAGGGAGTAGGAGATGGGATGGTTTGCGGATAGGAGGGTGGTTATAGGTGAAAAACTGCTAAAATCCAAAAGTTGTACTTTAGAAATTTATATTTATTAAATAAAAGTTTTCTAAAAAATAAAAAAGAGGTCTTAGAATACACCAAAACTTTTATGAGTGTAGTGACTACTAGAGGCTGGAAAGCTGAGGAGGGAGCATGATTGATGGGTACAAGGGTGCAATTGGATGAGAGGAATAACATGTAATGATCTGTAGCACAGTGAAGAAACTGAAAACACTTTTGTTCTAAAAATAGCTAATAGCATTCTGATTATTCCCAACAAAATGATAAATATTTGAGGTGATGTATATGCTAATTACTCTGATCATTACATGTCATATGCATGTATACTACAGTGTACTTCTAAGTATGTACAATTGTATGTATCAATTACAAATAAACATACATATATTAAATTCTCTTCAAAAAAACACTAAATGATTCTTTTCTTACCTTTTAATTTGATATTTTTTAAATTTCCTATAAAATATATGAATGACTTTAACAATTGAAAAAACAACAATGATTTTATTTTTTGAAACTACATTGAGCAGTTCTTACTTCTTCCAAACCAATAGATGCTGGGCTTATTTTTAGTAACAGCCATTTAGTTAGTCAAGAAAAATCATAAATATGATTTTGGTTTCAGGTATTCTATCCTAAATATGAGAGGAAAAAAGTAAGCAATCATGACATGATCCCTAAGGCATAAGAAGTCTTTCTCCTGAAACTACTCCTCAAAATGCTGAAACTTAACATTCTCAGCCATGAATCAATAACCAACCACCGTTAGCCTAGAACAGGAGCTTCAGCAGGCAACACTGGTTGGTTTTGCCAAGGGTAGGGGGTAGGAGAAGTTAAAGACCATATATTGAACAGCCAGCCTTTTCATTTCAGAAACACATCCCTATGGATTCCTCCCACTGCAGTACATGTCAGTATACCCTTAACAATTCATATTGCTTTTATGAGAACTATGGTCTCAGGACTGACACCATGCAATGCTAAACAGGAATGAGCAGAGTTACCCTCCCATGAGTTTGACAATCAATTACAGGCATCCTTGAGCCTTCCTCCAGGTATTCACTTATGTGACATAAGACGCTCCCTATTCAAAAATGTGGAAATACAAGGGTGCCGCAAAACAATTCAGGGAAAATGGAATTAAAAATATGTTTCTTCAAGTGTAAACATTTTGAAATTGTACATACTCACAGTAGTATGAGGTGAAAAAAAGAACAATTTATGTAGGAAAAGAAGAGGAAAATTTTCATCATGATTCCACCATTTGATATTTATTAATAAAACTATGCTGACAGTGAGGAAGCTAGAGCAAAGCTATCACACTTTGAAAATAAAGACAGGGGTGACTTTTTGTCCTGGCAGTTAAGATACTGATTGGGACATCTACATCCCGTATCAGAGTGCCTGGCTCTGCTCCCAATTCCAGCTTGCTGTTAGTGTACACTGTGGGAGGCAGCAGATGATGGCTCAAGTACCGATGTCTCTGTCACCCACATGGGAAACCTGGATAGAGTTCCTGGCTTCTATCTTCAATTGCACCAAACTTAGCATTTAGAGAGTGACCCAGGAGATAAGAATGCTCTCTCACTTATCTCTCTCTCTCTCTCTCTCCCTCTCTCCCTCCCTCTCTCCCTCTCTCCCTCTCTCCCTCTCTCTCTCTCAAATTAATGAAATTAAAGAGAATTTTCCAGATCCAATCTGTAGCATTAGAATAAAGGGTATAGGGGCTGGCACTGTAGTGCAGCTGGTTAAACTGCTGCTGTAACACAGACACCATATATCAAAGTGCCAGTTGGAGACCTAGGTGCTCTGCCTCCAATCCAGCTCCCTGCTACTGCACTTGGAACGACAGCAAAAAAACATCCAAAGTGCTTGAGGTCCCGCCAATCACATGGGAGACCTCGATGGAGTTCTGGGATTCTGGTTTCAGCCATTTGTGCAGTGAACCAGCAGATGAAAGATCACTGTCTTTCTGTGTGTCTTTATCCATACATATTTATTAGAAAGAAATGTAAATATTAGCCTCACATAATGGTGCCATCAGACAATATATGCCTGCTGATACGATGCAATGAGAAGAGCCAGGACATTACAAGGGAAGTTGAGAAATCTGAATGTAGACAGAATATTATATATTAATAATATTGTATCAATGTTGAGTTTCTTGACTAAGATAATTTATTGTAGTTATTATCTAAAGGAATGCCTTTGTGCTTAGAAGACAAACCTGAGAAATGTAAGGATAATGCTTGCAGCTTCCTTTCAAATGGTTTAGATAAAAAGGAAAAAGAAAGTGTTAAAAGGAAAGATGACTATTCATTAAATACACAAAGCATATATGATACACATATACATACAGAATGTATGTGAGGGGAACCAATATGGACAAGAAGTTAGCAATTAATGAAGAGTATATTAAAATATTTGACGTTTAGAGAATTTACCATCCTACTTTTCTATGAGTTTCTAATATTCAAAATTAGATTGAGAAAGAGACATGCAAAACAAACACATACCCCTGTGATAAATGGAAGAAGCATATGATGTTTAAGATGTCTGGTTTTGCATACAGCTTTGGAAACTCTGGGAAGGTAGCCTAGCTGCTTGGGATCTTAGTTTCCTCTTCTGAAAAGTGAGATAGGTGCACTGAATGATCTCCAAGGCCCTTTCCTATGACAAGAGTGTGTATTTGGGAATAAAAAGTCAAATAGTTATGATTGTGGGTGTATGTTTACATATACAGATAGCGTAATAAAATTGCTATTTCCCTTCAAAAAATTAATACCTGTTAATTCCATAATTTATAAATTATTCTTCAATAGTATCTTGGCAAATTGTGCATACTCAATGGTATTTTCTTACTTGAAATTGAAATTATATTTCTTCTTCTAAGAATCAGATCTCTTTTCTACTTTAAAAAGATAATTCTCATGGAAGGAGTTGGGAGAACTCTCTGCCTTTCACCTTTTTTGAATAGTTTGAGAAGAATTGGAATTAGTTCTTCTTTAAAAGTCTGGTACCTTGGCCGGCACCGTGGCTCAATAGGCTAATCCTCTGCCTGCGGCACTAGCACCCCGTGTTCTAGTCCCAGTCGGGGCGCTAGATTCTGTCCCGGTCGCTCCTCTAACTGTCCAGCTCTCTGTTGTGGCCCGGGAAGGCAGTGGAGGATGGCCCAAGTCTTTGGGCCCTGCACCCGCATGGGAGACCAGGAGAAGCACCTGGCTCCTGGCTTCAGATCAGTGTGGTGCGCCAGCCATAGCACGCCAGCCGCAGTGGCCATTAGAGGGTAAACCAACGGAAAAGGAAGACCTTTCTCTATGTCTCTCTCTCACTGTCCACTCTGCCTGTCAATAACAACAAAAAAAGGCTGGTACCATTCAACCATTCAGCACTGAAGCCATTTAGTCCTGTGCTTTTCTTTGTTGGAAGGGTCTTTATTACTGATTCAGTCTCCATCTTGGTTATTGTCTATTTAGGTTTTGTCTTCTATGAGGAAAGCATCACCTTAAATACAAAACCAGAAAAAGATATAACAAAGAAAGAGA